TGAGCGAGGTGCGGGCGCAACACCAAGGGTTGCGATCCCGTTGCCGGTCCCGGTCCGGTACCTGTGCGACACTGAGGGTTGCGATCCATTGCCAGACACGAAAAAAGACAAAAAAAAAAAGATAGTTCTATAAAAATATGTAGTGACTGAATTGAAACTACAGCTAAAACTATAACTAGTGTTTATATATTTTCTTTGATACCAGTTTTATTAGAATTTTTTAATATAGTGGTTGAAGATGATATATGATTTTTTTTTAGAATACCTCATGTGATTTCTTCAATTTTGTCTCTGAGACATTATGTATAATCTTAGTATCTGAATTTTCTTAAATTATACTATTTTTGTTGTTGTTATTGCTTTATACCAACAGATCTCAAAAGTTGAATGATAAATGTGCCTCTTAGAGAATTGTCCTGTGTCTTTCAACTATATTTAGCTTTTTTCATAAATGACTCTTAAATTGTTTTTTGCATAATTTAATACACATTTCAGAACCCCTAATTCACCTGGCCAAGAAAGTCTACTTTTAAAGACATCTGTCAGAGAGAACCTTATTTTTATGAAATTGAAAGCACATCTTTCAGTCCTTACTAAAATGTAGGTTTTTAGTGCATTCTAAGAAATGAAACCCATTCATTCATTTGAATGCCTGCTATTAGAGATACAAATACTATGAAAGCAGAGCACTGCCTTTTAAGTTGCTCACAGATCAGTGGAGGAGCCAGACCTCACAAATGCATTGAGTCATGCACAGAAGGTGGAGGGTGGTGATTTGTAAAGGCATTTCCAAAGTAGTGCATTTGAGGGAATATATGTTCTTATTTCTTCCTAGTAGGTTTTGTCAAATGTATCATTTTTTACTTACATGTTATTTTATTATTTTATCTGCTAAATTTTAAAAATAATAAATGTAAACAGAAAATGAATTCTGCATTTGAGCTCTAAACTTAGCCTAAATTCCAAAATGAAGTGATATTTCTTAATAAATGTTTTAAAAAGTTATGTTTTTGATTTTGTTTTTTTAGTTGTTTTGTAAATTTTTATAACAAGGTCTTGAGAAGTGAGGTTTCTGATTTTTGTTTTGTTTTGCTTTTGTATGTTTTTCAGGTTATTGAAATTCGAACTATGGAAGCCCCTTATTTTCTACCAGAGCATATTTTCAGAGATAAGTGCATGTATGTTAATTCTTTACACTTTAAGGAAGGGGCAACTGGCTTGAGAAACCAATTGATGATTGTAAAGGAGTATACTAATGTTGTGATAATTTGGGGGGACTTAATAATGATCATTTTGCATTTCTGTTATTTAATTCATCTGACCTTTTCCATTGCTGTAAAAGTTCTTGCACATTATAAATGTAGACTCATGGACACATGAAGTCGATCTTGAAAAAAATTGGGANTTTGGGGGGACTTAATAATGATCATTTTGCATTTCTGTTATTTAATTCATCTGACCTTTTCCTTTGCTGTAAAAGTTCTTGCACATTATAAATGTAGACTCATGGACACATGAAGTCGATCTTGAAAAAAAATTGGGGAAAAAAAAAGACTTATTCTGCTTTTTTTCTAATATGGAGCTATATCTCTAATATGACATTTTTTTATGTTCTCATATACAAAGGAACACTCCTTTAGGAGAATACAATATCCTGTTGAAGGCAGTCAGGAATAGATAACAATGCTGATAAAGTTGTGAGAGAAAGAATGTATTAAGGAAAATCTATAAGTTGTATCTGCATTCTTCCTTGTTCTCCAAAGAAAAAAATATGTATGAATAATATTACTCCCATACTTTATTCAAACTTTTAGGTTCTAAAAGCAGTTTAATATTGAAAGCATCAGCAACAGATAATATCAAATACTTTGAAAGGAAAGTGAAATCTTATATGGTTGGGCAAGTGCTTTCTATCACTTAGGTAGTTAAGATGGTTTTCGTTAGTAATCAGTGAGCTGCATTTTTATTTGCTTCTCTCAGTAAATTTTTAATTAGTATGAAAATAAAAGCTGGATTTAGTCCTCTTCATCATTTAATGCTCAAGTATCAACAGAATAATATAAGGCTAATTCACTATTAGAACATTACTGGGAGAAGAATCACAACAGAATGGTTAATATATGAGACCACATACCATGTGTTCTTAAAGAGCTGAAATTAGTCACCTAAAATATACTGATTTTTTTATTAGTTACAATTTAAATTGGATTTACATTTAGAATATTGAGGCTTTGCTGTAGAATGTTTTGCATGTTTACTTATTTTTGCTTGGTAATTTCAGTAATACCAAATGATTTTTGTTTTCATCAACCTTATAGGCTTCCAAAATCTTTAGAGAAACATGACAAAAATTTGTACTTTCTGACCAACAAAATTGCAGAGTCACTGGGTGGAAGTGGATATAGTGTTGAGAGATTGTCCATACCGTATGTACCACAAGTGACAGGTAAGAGGAAGGTAATGAGAACTCTTACTCTGGTGATTGATCATGTTTCAGTAATTTTCCCATTACCCAGTTAGCAATGAAAACTAATTCTGGTATGTATACTTACCATAGCACAGCCTTTTTCAGATGTGTGAGTGTTTACTTACATTTTTAAATTTTGCTCTTGAAAATGCTTAGTAAATCTCTAAAGAATGTAGATATGATTTTACCATAAGCAAATCAAGTCCTTGAGTGTTTATTATTATTATTATACTTAATACGTTATTACACTAATATCATATTTAATATGATCCTTTAAACAGTGAAGCAAAGTGAGATCATTCCTTATTAAACAATATTC